GCTCCCTCCCGCTCCCGCCCGGCTCCCGCCCGGCTCCCGCCCGGCTCCCGCCCCGCTCCCGCCCCGCTCCCGCCCGGCTCCCGCCCGGCTCCCGCCCCGCTCCCGCCCCTCCGCGGGGCATCCGCCGGGCAGGACCGGGTGCGGGGCCGCCTACTCGCTTGCGGGCGTGGAGCCTCCGGCCGGCCCGGCCGAGGCCGCGGCTGCCGCTCCTTCCTCTCCCGGCGGCACGGCCCTCCGCAGGTAAAGGGGCAGCGGCGTCTCGCCTCCCCTCCCTTCTGTCCCGGGGCTGCCGCTGTCCCGCGGGTCCCGCCAGCCGTGGGCCGTGCTGAGCCCTTGGACCCGGCGCCTCTGCAGCCGGCGGGGCTGTGCCCAGTGTCCCGCCGCTCGGTGCCCGTCTGCCTTCCGCCAGGAAACCGCTCCCGTCCTTTCTCTCCCCGCAGGCAGGCGGCTGGCGGGAGCAGCTCCGTGCCGATGCTGCTGCCGGCCTGGGAACTTTGCCTCTACGGGCTCCTGACCGTGGGCTCCCACCTCTACGCTTTCTACGAAGCGCACCAAGTGTCTCGAGGTAAGTGTGTGCCCCGGGCGTGCTCACTCGGGAACGGCTTCCCCCCGTGCCTGGCGAGGCTGTTCGGTGTGAGTTCTCGTCTCTGGTCAGTTTCTACTTTGTTCCTGTGCGAGGAGCCCCTGTGTTCTTCCCAGCTGCCAAGCTGCCCTGTGCGAGGAAGCAGTAGGCAGATGCTACCTGAGCATACAGCTTTGTCCCAGGGCGTTTTTGCCTTTGAGTGCTAGGACGGCCCGTGGTAATGCTGTACTCGGATGTGGCTGTCAGGGAAAATATGAGGGAGACCTCTGAAGCTCAGCTACTCGGGGAAAATTCAGGAAAGTTGGGTTTGAATTGACTTGTTTTCCCTGGCTAGTCACTAGCAGCTCCTTGCAGGTGGGTGGTTCAGAAGCAGCTGTGCCTTCTGATGGTACTTGCCAGGGTCTGAACCTGGAGAGGCCCTAGGGCAAGTTGGTGTTCCCTGCCTGGAGCTCTGGGCTTCTGGTGCTGAGTCTGGGGCTCAGAGCAATGGTTGGGTTGTCTGTAGAGCTTTGTGGTCAGCTTCTTTCCAAACACCTACCTCTGCCTTGTGTAACCTCTTGGTAGCTGCTGTGGTGGCTTGGTTTGGAGCTGTGGAGCTATGTATTGCATAGCAAGGGCAGGACTTTAAACAAATTAAGTACAGTTTGTAGATGAAAAGAAGCTATGTTACAGCGCAGTGGTATTTAAATAAAGGTTGCATTGTAAAAGTATAGCAAGCTAGAGAGCCTTTGCAGGGAATATATGTTGCATCTTATTAGGCTTTAATCAACAATTACATTAATGACATTAATGACTCTACCTGGCTCTTGAAAGCACTCAAGGGAAGAACAGAAGTGCCAGAAAGGCATTTGCAGAGCAGTGGAAGGAGTGCTGTGTAACTGGGTACAGAGCTATGCACCCATGCATACAGCAAGTCTTCTGCTGAAGTGGCAAAAGGCTCTAGAGGCAGCTTCTCTGAGCAGCTTTTCTCTGTTTTGGCTGTACTGGCCACTCTTGGGTCTGTGTCCTCTTTCTGCTCTGGTGGGAGAAACCAGGCAGTTCTGAAAAATGGCGAGTGAGGATTAGTGCAGGTCTTGTGTGGTAAAAGGTGGGTTGCTGCTACTGTCCTCATTGCTGCAGGCCAATGCATTGCCAGTGGGATCAAAACACTGGTTTTGGGAAATTGCTTTACCAGTACTATGGGGCAGAGCTGTGGTGCAGTTGGCCTACCTAGTGAGCCGTGGTGATGTGGTGACTTGCCCTTCCCTGGATATGGGTATCCTCACTGATGGAGATCACATGGGAATGTGCTGCTCTTGAGCAGCAGAGAACCCATCCCTGACTCTTCATGCTCTGGCAGCTGTGTCCTTATCAAAGGTTTGCTCTTCCCTGCAGAGTATGAGGCTGCAATGGACAGAAGGTTTGGGCTGGACCCAGGGACTCTCTTTCGGGGGCTAAAAAAGGTAGGAGGGGTGACAGTGTCTCGTTTTGTGGCAATAATCATGTCTCCGTGCCCTTTGCACATCGAAGCTTCTGATTTAGCATTAGAAGTTTATAGTAACATGCAGATTTGGGTATTTATAGTTAATTCTAGTCTAATGTTTCTGATGAGGAAGAGAGACTGGCTGGGTGTGTCTGGATCTAAGAATCATAACCAAAGTTTTGTTCCTTTTCTTGATCCCTGATTTAAGTGTTTATCCTTTGCTATGTCTCTTGATAACCCTCTATTTTACTCTTTGGCCTTAAAACTCTGATCAACCTTGACACTTCCTCCAGCCTTTTCCCCTTTTTCTTGTTAGTAGGTGATTTGGATAATGCTTAATGTCAATGAACATATTTTTCTCTTGGTTAGCCTGGAGTACGGCATAGAGAACAGATTTTGAGGTGTAAGGTTTAAAGAAGCATAGTTGGTGTTAGAGAAAAACCAAAGCAGTAAGAAAACTGTCAGTCCTCTACACCAAACAAAAAGGCACATCCCTACCCCCACTTGCTTGTATTTCTTCAAAAGGTTGTGAGGTCAAAAGCAAATAATGCAACTAATCTTGAGGATTGCTTGCACAAAAGCAGGAATGCATGTCTATGGAAGTGTTTTGGTGTTCAGGCCTGCCATCACTGCTGATAATGGACCTTTGATATGTACTTTTTAGAAAGCTTTAAGGTAGTTGAGATGAACTTTTAGTGAAGCTCTGTATTGGACTCAGGGCTACCAGCTGATCCCTCTTACTTAATTTAGATAAAAATTTCCTTCCACAGCTAACTCCAGCTGACCTAACTCTGATTGCAACTAGACTTTACTGAAATGGGGAGCTAAGCTTTTCTTCCAGCAAAGCACCTTTCCACTGAAGTTCTTCGTTTTCCAAGGCAGAGCAGAGTTGCTCTCTGAATCCCTTCAGGAGAGCTGAAGTTCCTCAGCTTCAGCACCAGTGTGAGGTTTAGGGAGCACAACACCAGCTCTGTTTTCCTGAACTTTGCCTCACTGGAAGTGAAAATGATGCTGAGTTCACTGCTGTAAGTGATCCAACTGGATTGCTGAAATAGTGTTCCTGAGATGTGGGAGTTCTGTTTGGTACCACACAGGAATTTTATTATGGAGGTATTCCTTTGTCCCTTATGGCCAGATACACATAGTGACCAGTTCCCTTCATGTCACAGGACCCCATGGACTTTGAGTGGAGCTATTGGGTTGAATGGGGAAGGGAACGTATACAGTGGCTTCTGGCTGGTCACCTGCTGGTATCACAAATGTCCAGGCTCTTGGTGGAGAAGGTATGTAGAGATTTTCTTCACTGTGGGGAGTTTCTGATGGGTTTGTTTCTTGTGGACATGGGAAGCTTTGCAGTGAGGCCTCTGACAGTAGTAAATCTCATCCTGTGGTGTGAATTGTGTGAGGGGGTTAGTTGCCTTAATGTTTGGAGACTTCAGCCTCCAACCTATAAAGCCTCTGCCTTGTTGTAAACCATTAAACAGCATTGTTTGACTTGTACACAGTAGAAGGGTGCAGTTATTCCTTTATGAGGAAAGTATGTAAAGTGATGGTTGTTTGGGTTTTGGCATGATACCTGCTAGTCTGGGGAAGGAAAGGAAGAAATTATGCTCTCCCTCAAATTAGGGAGCCTCTGGTTTTCATGTGATGTTACTACAGAAATGCCTTCCCTTTCACTTCTAGGGATATGGTTGAGTTTGTGTTTTTTCATGTGTGTTCCTCACCTTGTTGACTACATTTGTCTGCAGCAAAATCTGTATAGGCAGTACAGGTATTAAATGCCTTTTTTCTTCAGAAATAGTTAAACTGAAAATTGTTAACTTTTTTTTTCTGACAGTATAAACCATGGTGCTTGATGGTTTATGGAATGGCTGCCTGCTGGTTGTTACTGGGAATCAAGGGCTTTGCTGTAATTTTGTTACATGCAGCTATTTCCTTTGCTGTGGCTCAGTTTCAGCTGTCACTCCTGACATGGTTGTGCTCCCTTATCCTTCTGGCCACTTTACGCATACCAGCCGTGGAAGAAACCAAGGTAATGTGAGGACTAATTAAGCATCCAACTAATTATTGTGAAGGTTGTCTATAAAGGCATCTATCTCTATGGCAGCATGCTGTTGATAATAAGCAGAGGTTTGAGAAATCTTAAGCAGTAGCACTGCAGTCACTCATGCTGGAGCTTCTCCAGTTAGTCACGTTTCTCTATCTTGGTGGCCAGTATGTCCCTTAATGTGTAAGTGGTATTCAGTAGAGCTGGAGTATGATAGTACTTCACTAGTGCTCTATTAAACACATTTCATTAGAACTCTAATCATGCCAATTCAAGGTGCTGGGTTTTGGGTTTGGTTCCAGGAGTTACTCACTATAAGCGTGCTTGTACTTATTGGTGGCTGTGATTTCTGCAGGGAAGGAGACTTTCTCCAACACTTTGATTTGTACCAAATGAGTTTCTTGCATCAACTGGCTGTATGCAAGCTCAGTTTTGCTCTTAGTCTAGTGACTTTTTCTGAGTACTACAGATATGGAAAAACTGTTGACCAGTTCTGAGGAAGTGCCCTGTTGTATTTTATTGGGCCAATGGGAAAAACAAGACAGTTGTTATAAGGGTTGTTGCCCTGATGTTCAGGGGGAGGGGGAATGAGTGTGTAGAATCTCTTCATCTGGTGTGGCCAGGTTTTGTGATTTGCTGAGGAGAGGGCCCACTGCAATACAAATTGTCAGTCAGCCAAACCACATTTGCTGTTTCCAAGTTTTTTGTGATGATAGGTTTTTGTTGTTGGCAAAATGTGTGATACCAAGTGTCAAAGAATCAATAACGTAGCTCAGTAGCATTTTTTCCAGACTGAAATTTTCTCAGGACTGATTCTCTTTACATCTAACTTCAGCCCTATTAGCCTGTTGGCTGTCAATTGTGTTGCCAGCTGGTTTGAATATTGTAGTGCTGGACTAAATCTGAGGTAGAGCTGTCCTGGTACTTCACAGACTAACATGTTTCTGAAATCAAGCTGTTGTCTCTTTATGCTGGCTGCAGTAGCTCTGGAGGACCTTTCTCCATCAAAAGCCAGTGCTTGTTGTTTATGTGTTTAGTGTTGTTCACTTTAGGTTGTCATTCCCGCTGCTATTTGCTTTAGTTTTGTCCTGCTGCTGCTGCTGACCCCAAAAGTTGAGATCCGAGTAGACATTGCTGTCTTGCCATAAAGAAAACACAGCATTGCACCATCATGATCTTTTTTTGTTTTGTTTTGCAGAGAAAGTGGTATGACACTGAAAATGAGTATTACCTGCTACTCTTCACTGTGTCTGTCCGCTGCCTCTTCTGCACTAGCTTCAGCCTGGAGTACTGCTGGCATGCACCTACCCAGAAGTCATCCCACTCATTCCCCTGGATGCTGGCATATGTGTTTTACTATCCTACATTCCACAATGGACCCCTCGTGAATTTTGATGAATTCAGTAAACAGGTAACAGTGGCTGTTGTTTGGGTGTCTAAAGCTGTCTTCCACATAATTATAAAATCAAGAAATAATACTATAGGAATGTTAAAATTTTGAGTAATCATGAGAACTTTTGTAGTGTCATGTATATCAGCTTTTAACACAAACCTGTCTCCACAAGTTCTTCTGCTTCACAGGATACTCTTGTCTGACATCAGATTCATCCCTTCAACCAGGGAGCCAGTGACGGTGCTTTCTTACATTTGGAGAGTGTTCATAATTTTAGCATGCAGCTTCTGGACTATTTTATTGTTTTCTTCTTCATCAGGTGAAATAAAGCTAATGTTTTCAGCATAAGCTTGCTATTAATTCTGAAATGGATTTCAGAGTCACAGAAAGCTGATAGATTGTATTGGGAATTCCTGAAAACTCCAGTTTCTCCTCATATTGTTGTGAAAACAGCTGATGACTTACTAGGAGCACTTTGCTTCAACTGAGCAGCTTGTTTAAAAGATAAGACCAAACTGTAGTGAATGCTTTTCTTAGTCCGTTGCAGGCTTCTTTTCAAGCCTGCTTTTTACATGATGGGAAAAGTCCATGTCTTCATCCTTTATTGTTTTCCATATTTTCTTACTTGAGTAAGAAGAGGTATCACAACCTGTTATGTCTATAATTAAAAATATTGTGTCAAAGCGGATTAGTGAACATGTCAAACCATAAAACTGCCTTTTCAGTTTATGCATAGAAACCTAGGGATTACTTGCTTCTGTTTATATTTGGGAATTTTCTGTTGAAGTCAAAGCAAATACTGGGCTTTTTGAAAGTGAAACTAGATTACAGTGGGTCCTTGAGTGAAAAGTCCTATGCTCATTTGTTTTCACTTGCTTTGGAAGATGCAATGTTGAATGTTGGACTGGATATTGTGGGAGAAGTCCACATAGACTTGCATAGAAATGGAGGTAGTATTTTTTTCCTAATTATTGTTTTGTAGCTTCTGAAGTGTGTTAAATTCCACCTAAATCCTTGTATGCCAGGAGAGGGACAGTTGTACTTTCTTTCCAAGGACTGTTTCAGAAGACCTGTAGGACTCCAAGCTGAACACAGCTTGAGAATAGCTGATAGGAAAAACTCAGGGAGCCTTGCTTTGAAACTTAACTCACCTGATATGGGTCAGCAAAGAACTATGCAAAGAGCACATGTGTTCTTGGTGTAAGAAGAAAAAGGAAGATTGAGAATAATATGTCGGTATTTGCAGAAGGTTCTCCTTAAATATGTGTGGTTAAAACCATGAAGAAGGTGGCACAAACTGAACAACCCTAATGTGTTTGCTGAAGGGTATTGTCAGAGCTCTTATCTGAGCAGAGGTATTACCTTGGCAGATGAAATCAGAAAAGGATTTCAAAGGATGCAGTGCCCAGCAGTTGATTCAAAATTCACAATACAAAGAGAATCTTTATTGATGCTGTTGTAAGAGACCACTCTCAGAACCCCTTAACTGAAGCTGAGGCTGGGATGAGCACACTGGAAAGCAGAAATTCTGGAGCTGGAGACAGTGAATTGCTGTATGACCCAAAGAGTGTAACAGCAGTTCTGGCAATTGGCATCCACTGCCAGGCAAAAATGAGACACTGCCACTTTGTCACTGGCATTGTGGTATTTCTGGGTTGAAGCAAGGCATAGCAGTTCTAGACGTGGCTTTGAAGGCCTGTTGTGCAAATCCCTGTGATAAAATGCAAGTCTCCAAGCTTTCACATTGCCATGTAGCTGATGCAACATTTGGAGCCCTCGAAAATGAGTGTGTGTGTTTACTATAGTGTGCTTGGGACTGAGGGCCTGTGCAGATGAGTTGGTTACTTCTCTTGTATGTGCATTTTTGATGGCCAGTTAGAGACTGGAGAAGGAAATGTTGCACACAATAATGGATGTATAACGCATGACTGAATTTTTAGGCAATCCTATGTTTCTGGTTTTTGATTCTCTTCTCTTTTATTGTGGAAAGGTGGTGCAATAATAATATGCCAATGTATTTACTGCAGTTAGCAGTCTAAGAGTTTGGAGCCTCTTGAGAAGCCTGTCAACTGCAGACTTTGCCTTATTGAATATTTAACTTGCATTTCCATTTTCCCAGCACATTCTGTAGATCTTGCTGACTTTGGCAATGCTGTGGGAGGAAAATTAAGAGCTGTCCTCAAATTATTGATTCTCTGCAGTTGGTAGAAGTTGGAGGTATTTTAAGTGTAAGCAGTCATTGTTCCTGTTTGGAAGGGCTGCTCCTTGGAAAATCTTCATAGCTGCAGTTTCTGTAATCTTTTTGTATTATCTCCAGAGGTCAAGTTGCAGGAATTAAAGTCTCATGTCTGGATTCTGTTCAGGTTAACAATAGTTGGCCTTTTTTACAACAGTTAGGTGCAATATACATACACATTTGGCTTGTTGGTTTCTACTGCTTACTGAGATTGAGAATGGAGAGACCAGTCTTGCAGAGTGTGTGAGGAATTTCCAAATGATGTAGTCAAAAGTTCTCAGGATAAATGTTTTGCATAAAATGATCAGTTTTGTGCCAGGTAACCTCTTTGGATTTCTTCTTTAGATGAGGAGACAAGAAGCTTTCAGTGTGAAGACCAATCTCAGCATCTTAATTGTGGGCATAATTCGTATTTTCTTTTGGTGGTGCCTGGCTGAGCTGATGATTCACCTCATGTATATCCATGCTCTCTACAGTAGTGCTCTGCCTTTGGAATCTGCATCTTACTGGGCTTTGGGTGAGTATAGAAACAATAGCAGAAATCTTTCTTCCTCCCCCACTTCAAGAACCCCAGTCTTCAGCTCTTTTATGTTGATTTGTAGGTACTTAAATGTAGCACATTATAGCCAGCCACTGTCAGAAAGGTGGTCTACAGATTCTTAATATAACATGTGGATTCTCCATGAGCTTAGTTGAATTTATTGAGCTGCTTCCTAAATTAAAAAATATTCTGTACTTTTTCCAGTCTAGAATATGTCTCTATATTTTGGTCTAAGGTGATTCTCCCCCTCAAGTCATGGAAGTGGACACTTAAAAGGAGTTTATTTATTGTGGGGATGAAGAAGGGGCATGCTAAGAATTATTTTTATCTCCTTCTGATTGATGTTTCTAGTTTGCATTCACATTGAAAAGGACAGAACTTGTAAAAACAGTAGAAGGAAGGACTTGCAAATAAGGTAACCTGAAAGTAGTAGTCAGTGCCTCTCAGTTCTGTTTTCCTGCTTGGCTTCCCTCACTTCTACCCTGTCTGCAGCTCCCTGGTATTTCATTAAAATGCCCAGCTGTGAGGAAAAGGAGTGCTGACAAATGCAGTGTAAATCAGCAAAAGCTTTAGGTGGTGGAATGTAAGCAACTGGCATACATGGTTGATTTGATTTCTGCCCCCACTTCTCAATCTGTATGACCAGGTAGAAAGAAGAAAAGCAAAGAAACCCCAGACCTTAAAACTGGTTTCTGAAAAAGCCTTGGTGACTCCTGACTTGCAGGAGGTGTCTCTTACAGCAGGGATTGATGCACACACTGTCCTGTCCAGCACTCGCTGAAGCTCACCTGTGTCACCACAGTGTGTGTGTTGAACACTTGGACTGCACTGGACTCTGGTCAGCAGAGGGCAATGTGTGCACTCTCTGTGTACCCCTGTGTGCATACATACACACTTGATACATGTTTTAGTATATCGTTTTTATATCTAAAAAAGGGCAAGGGCAGATAGAGAGCAAGAAAGGGAGAGGTTTGCCTCAGTGGTTTGTTGTTTGTTCTACTCCTCACTCAGTCACTGTTTAGAAAGGGGATTCTGAGTTTTCATTTTCTATTCTAAATGTCAGTTCATTGATGAGTTAAATCTGTTAGCTCCTAGTGCTTGTGTGTGTTACAAAAGCTGGCCACTTGATAATGCAGGGAAAGCTCCAGCATTAGGGATTAAATATTCCAGCAGTGGTGCTACTGATGGATTCCTCCCTCCCTTCAAGACTACCAGTGTTGGTCTTGTAGGGTGGGAAGGGAGTTACACTATAGGCAACAGCTAAGTTGTCTGCATATTTATTTGATGAAATAAAGTGTGTTATCCTAAGAATTAAAAGGCATTTTGAACAGAGGGTTAGAAAAGGTGAAAATGCCTCAAAGCAACAGGAGACGTAAGCCATTGGTAGAGCAAGTTTGGACTGTAGAGCTGCCAAATGTCAAATTATTGTATTTTAGCAAGCTGCCTGTGACGATCCTTGCCTTTAGGATAGGTGTACTCAAAATGTAACCTTTTTCTCATTGAGCTTTTTTTTCCTGTAGTAATGTTGGCAGGTATTTAAACTATACTATAAATGAGATTTTTTGAGGTAGAAGTTGGTCACTTAATGTTTTCTCTGCAGGTTTTATCACAATGGTTGTATAGGTGTCCTTAAACTCAAATCAGTGATAGGCCACTATTGTGACTTGCTTTAGGGAGCTACCAATATATGAGTATTGGTACTAGTAATAATTTACTGTTAAGTCTTACTGGACTCTTATGGATCTTACCATGGTTCTACACCAGCTCCTGTACAGAGCCAAACACTCTCCTCTGTTACTTTGCATGCTGTGTTATTGGAACTAATTTTGTCACATAACTGAGTCTTAAGACCAAGGAAGAACCTTGCTGTTGACTCAGGAGGATTATCCATGGTATGTAAGCCTCTCTGCACTGCTGGGGTTTGTTCATTTTGGGTGTCCTGTTTGAATTCAGCAGCTTTAAAACAGCATGGAACATCTATTTACACAGTGATGCTTGGCTGCCCTGATAGCCTGGTAAACTTAAGGGAAAGGCTGTGAGGCTGCTCTGCAGTTACCCCTAATTAGGGAGCTTACATCAGCTGCTGCATTTTTTTTCTGGGATAACTTTGAGCAATGGGCCGTAAATGCCAGAAGTGCAGGTAAGACAACAGTGCTGTGAAGTTTTGCTACCAACACCTAAGAGCAATGTCAGTCTACTCCTCATGACTGTGAAGTTACAGTGTGCTCTGCATCACTGTGTGCTGTTCCTGTAAGGTGAGACATCAAAGAAATAAAAAAATACCACAACTAAATCCTGAGTTACAATGCTTGTTAAAAAAAGCTAGTGTATAACAGTGCCATTTATGGCCATGTAAAGCAGGAATACTAGAGTGACCAAAACAAATATTGCTAAGGGCACACAGGTGTTAAATTAAAAAAATAGTAGGAGAATGTTACCCAGCAGTAAGAGAAGTATTTTCTCTTGTGTGGATGGAATCAGAGGCAAATGAGTTTCTAGAAGCAGCAACATACCAATTGGTGCAATATAGCTTTTCAGTAACCAAATATTAGGTCCCACATCCAGAACAGAATGAGGAATATGATGGGGCTGTATCCAACTCTATGCTATATATGTATGGCCCTTCATTTTGTGGAAGGGATGTTTATGTCTGAATATAGAATTAATTTAAAGATGTCAGCTGTGTAATCACAGAACTTTTATTTATTGGTCCTAGGAAGCCATTGTTTGGAGAATGTGAGCATTTTTCAGAATCCACAAATCATTGTGTCTCTGTTCACAAATGTTTGTGTCTGTGGATAGTTTGCTATTGACATACTGAGCAATATCAGGGCATTTGTGCTTTTTTAATGATGACTATCAAATGCAGTGTTTATAGCAATTCCACGGTTTTGTGTTAGTGCTGCATCTCATTCTGGTAGCATCAGTCAGATTGGCTGAAAGAATTGGGTGCTTTCAGAACTAATGACACAGCAGGAAGACCCATATTCCATGTTAATGGAAGCCATGGTACTTCATTCTTCTCGGTTTTAACATTAATTTGGAATAATTTTCTGCCTTTACATTTTGCATTGTAAAATGTAGATTTGCAGGCACCAAGAATAAAAACCACTATGAATTCCAGTAATCCAGTGTCCTGATGAATTGCAGCATAACAGAACAATAGCTACACTGTGCCAGATCAGAGGTTCATCTGTTCTACAGAGTAATTTTTGGATATGGTATGTAATGAAGCAAGAGAAAAGAAATGAGTAAAAGACAGTTAGATTGGTGATCCTTTTCAATGTCTGTTCTTCAAGCTTCTGCAGCTGAATGACAAATTCACTGACATGTGGTAATGGGGAGCTTAGTAGCATTGGTTGAAAGAGCTCAAATTGAAACAAGTGATTTTTTTTTTCTTTGCTATGACAACGTAGACTATCAATGGTAAAATTCACTTTGCTAAGGTACATTCTATTGTATAGAAACTGAAATGTGTCTTGCTAAGTCATTTGTTTGTTAAGTGTGATTCTGAAAATGCAGATGTTGGAAGAAGCATTGCCTGTATTTCCCTGATGGAGCTTCACATTTATCCTGGTGATTCAGCACCATCTACTTATCTCTGCTCATCTGAGCACAGCTTCATGTCCATCTGGCAAAGTACAGGGAATGATGGAAGACAGAAGTGTATATGAAAATATGTTGTTGAGTATAATTGTTGCCCTGGATTAATCTAGATCTTAATAGATCCCAGAGTTGTGAAAATATATTTTGCTAGGAATCTGTCTGCTTTGTCAGAGGTGTGTGATGTATGGATATACATCTGAGATGTAAACACTTGATAGAATGTCAGGAATTCTCTGTGGGTTTCATGTATCAGTCCTAACCACGTGTGGTCCTTTTGTTCTAGTGGAGCATGCACAAGGTAGTGTCAATTAGCTATCACTGTTTTAATTATTAACTAGGCTCTACTACTTCAAAAGGGTGTTTTCATATGAGTGGCATGTAAATCAGTCTAGAATATGATCTGTTTAAACGTGGAGCCACATGGCTTAATTTGTAGTTGCTGATCCCATGTTTTAATTTGTTAGAAGAAGAAATGTTATGTGTGTTCTTCTTTGACAGTGAGACCTACAGAGTAGTCTGTGTAAACTTGATAGAGTACTGGTTTTGATGTATTTGCAGTTTTTTATGATAAACCCACAGATAGGAAATAGATTTCTGAGTTCATTTTCAGAAGGATGCAGCATTCTGCTATTGAAATCAGGGGATCTGTTCATCTAAGTAGCAATGAAATACTAAGAGGAGTCTGAGATTTTTTCCATCCTGGAAGATAATGATAAGGAGAAATTGATTAAATATTTGGCATATTGAGGTCTGTTTGAAAAGTGGAAATAATACTATGAGTCAGAAAACTTAGATTTTTTTTTTCTAAAATATTAAGCTGTTCCCTGTTTTGTAGAAAGAAGTGTTCATGTGTGTAATTTTTCTTTTTCTAATCTTTTCTGTAGGCTAAACTTCAAGACCATATTGGCAATTAACCTACTCCTATGACTACTTTTTTTTTTACTCATGCATATTGTGGCTTAATCCCAGCTAGGAACTGAGCACCACACAGCTACCCACTCCTTTTCTTGGAGAGGTGGGATGATAATTGGAAGAATAAAACTGAGAATTTGTGGATTGAGATAAAGACAGTTGATAAGGTAAAGAAAAAGCTGCGTGCACAGCATAGCAAAACAAGGAATTAATGCCCCATTTCTCTGGGGAGGCAGGTGTTGGATCTGCCCCAGGGAAGCTGGGCTCTTTCATGTACAATGGTTACTTAGGAAGACAAATGCCATCACTGTGAATATCCCCCCTTTCTTATACCCCTAGCTTTATATGCTAGGATGAGTATATGGTATGGGATACCCTTTGTGTGAGTTGGGCTCAGCTGTCCTGACTCTGTCTCTACAAGCTCCTTGTGCACCCGCAGCATTCTCACTGGTGAAAGGTGAGGAGCAGAAAAGACCTTGACTTTCTAAACCCTGTAGTAACAAAAACATTTCTCTGCTTTCATCAGCACTGTTTTCTGCACAAATCCAAAACACAGCTGCACACTGGCCACTGTGAAGAAAATTAACTTTATCCCAGTAAAAGCAATGCAGTGTGATAACTCTTGGTTTATTTAGAGAGCCTTTCCCTGAAAGTATTAACAATTGAACATAATACTTAGAGTAGATGTTTTCATATCATGGTTGGAGTTAGAAGGAACTTTAAAGATAATCTAATTCCAACCCCTTTGCCATGGGCGTTCCTTCCACTAGACCAAATTTCTCAAAATCCTTGGGAGTATTCATGGTAGGTGTCTTTAAAGCCTTCTGGCTTACTTTAACTTGGAAGACCTGTCTGTGCTTTGACTGAGAGTCCCTTGACAGCTGTTAAGTCTTAAGTAATTTCACTTTGGGACCTTTATGTCCATTCAGCTATCTCTAAAAATAGGCACTTAGCTTCCAGGACAAACACTGTGGTACTTTCTTGCAACTACTCCATCCACAGAAGGATGTTTCTTGCTTCTTGTGTGCTGCTGGGAGGCTGAGATATTTTGAACTTGATTATATGGCCTGAAATTCTGAGCTGTTATAAATGTTTGCTTCCTATTAGACTTCTTCCATGTGTCAATAACCCTTTTGAAACGTGACAGCATATTTATCTCTGTTTGCTAGTGGAACCTGTCCTGGTACTTGACAAAAACAAGCATCTACAATCACTAATGCCATAGGGTCAATGTAGCTACAAAAAGGGTAAAGTTGTGATGTGCTGATAATAAAATTGCCTTCTAAGTTACAGTTTACCATGACTTTTGATGTTGTCTTAAGGATAGAAAAATGTCAAGTGTGATTTGTAATATATGGATGCAAACGTTTTGTTGTTGCTTATGAAAATATTCTATTTGTTAACTTCTGTCAAAAACTACCAGTCAGAATTTTGAGAGCATGAAGACTAAAATTAAGTCATGTGAATATTCTAATTTGTCATGATCTTTGTTTTAAAGTTCTATGAAACTTAGGAAATGCAGTTTTGCAGTAAACTTAAGGTTAAGGAAAATATTTGAAGGTTGATAAATACATTTTTAAAGCATAGGAAAACTTAGAATTTTTTAAGGATTGGAAGATGATAAATTGAAAATACCAGCTTCTATAAAAGTAAATTGCTTTAGTCTGGGACTTCAAACAGTTTGACCATTGAAATGCATGGGATTAAGATCAGGTACTTTACCTTGATACTTTATCCCTTAAGACATTCTGTTAAAAGAAAAAAAAAAAAAAAACACCTCAACTTTCAATCCTTTGAATTAATTTATTCTGGAGAAAAGATACAATCTTGGCAGTACTTTTTCCTCTTAGGTGTGTTGTAATATACATTTGTTATGGCTTGTTTCCATTTAAAATAATGCTCATGTGTTTGGAGGAATTATATCAAACACTAGAGAAGAAATTACATGATATTAATTAATGAATTTGATTGTTAATTTCATGCTTCTCAATCGGGTGAAGCTGTGTGCTTCTGGCTACTTTGTGCTAGAATGGAGCAAATGCAAAGCAGCTTGAATGTCTCAGGTATGCAAGAAGGTTTAAAGCCTGTGCCTGTTGCCAGTGCAGCCTAGCTATTGTGTGGCTGTGAATGTTGCCGTTAATTTTCCCAGTGTGGCCAGAACTCTCCTACTGCTGGCATAAGCTCAAGACCTATGAGAACTTGACTTGTGTATTTTGATAGGGACCTTTGTGTTGCTGTTTTTGTGAGTCTTAGAATTGCCACTCCCAGAGTAGCTCCGGTGTGCTGGGTGTGACTGTGATGTGATGTCTGTGTTTAAGATGCCAGTGCTACTGAGCTGCCTGTTAGTTACAGTAATGACAACCTAGATGTGTGTTATTGGAGATGGAGAAAATGCCTTTTTTCCCCAACTTGCATATTATGACTTGGTATCCATGAACTCAATCTTCCGTTGTTACATTTAAAATCAAATGTATTGATTTTTTGGGTCTCAGAGTGGAAGCCTGTTTCTAAATACCTTTCCATCAAGCACAGCCAAAGGATTTTGAGTTTTACAACTTCACAGACAGCTGTGATCTTCATAATTGGTTTGTGTGGGTGTCAGTGTTCAGCTCTCCAATGAAATTTGTCATAAAAGAAATGAGACACTGAATGAGAAGGGAATTAAAGCAGAAATTTGGCTGTACAGATGATTTAGCAGTAATCTAATGTGGAGCTAATTGGCTAGTATCCAAATTGTGCTTCTGATTGTTTGTTTTCCTCTGGGGAAAAATGTTATTGAATACTTGATGCCTGTTTCCCTGAAGTAAAATAACATAAGATTCATGTCTCAGTATTTTGTTCTAACATCAATTTTTATCTTGTATGGCACAACTGTTGCTTATTGTGTACAAGGATTATGATATCAAAACTAAAAATGTTGGATTATTGTAGCAAAATAGTGGCCATGTGTAGGTCAGCAGGAATTTTGCATTTTACATTATCAGTGCCAGAGTTTCACTCTAGGTTATTATACAGTAGATGAATTTTTAATGCTTAGCTTCTGGTTGTCATCCATTGTATACTTATTAGTCAGCAGAATTCAATAGAGATGTCGTCCCCCCCTTAAAAAGAAGGTTACTTAAATGTTCATGGAGTTGTACTGCTGCAGTCAGATTAAAAACTTTGTGCCCAAGGACAGTGTGCTGGAAGGTTTTAAAATTGTGTTGAATGTCTGAAATCCTTCAGTCAAGTTAGGTAATATGACTGAGCAAAAGCAGAGCACTGGAGTAGAAGTAGATGTAGCAATTGCATTTTATATTTTTTTTCTGTATTAAAGTATAATTTTAGTTTGCCTTCTTTGTGGTGAGATTTTCTGTATGTCAACTGTCAGATGGAGAAGTTCACCAAAGTTATTGGGTCTTTCAGCAGTGACCTCACCAGTTTCTGTAAAGGTGTTGGCCTCTGCTTTTTACTGTATTTTTACTTATTGGTCAATAAGTAAAAACAAAGAACATTTAGAATATTAGTAGGAATAATCTTCTTTTATAATGCATTCAAAGGTTGTTAATTGCATGAATAATAATAATGAGAATATTTGATTTTCATAATGAGATTATGATTTTCATCTCAGATCTGTGTAAGATGCTGGAGTTTCTGTCATAACCTGAGGTTGTGAGCAAGCACACTTATGAAATTTCTCCTTTGGAATTAAGGCAGCTACAAGACCTTAAGGAGACCTTTGTGGATTTGAAAACTGAAATATGCTTGGACCATTATGCCAAGTGGAGTCCCAGTTTTCTATGCCTTGGATGTAGCAGAAGGGGATCTTGTAGTAATGCCTTAGGTTTTAGCTGTTATATTTTTCAGATGCTGTACTGCTTTAGTGTGTAGTTCTGAGCTTCATATTAAGGGATGGTAAGCTCTCTTTATAGAGTAGGTAGACAGAATAATTCATTTCCTAGCTTGGGGCCAAGGACAACAACCCAAATCTCGAGCCTATGAGCATAAACAACGTGGACTGAAGAGAGAAGCAAGAAGGATGGGACTTCCTAACTTAAAGCTATAACTGGACAATTAATTTCAATATGCAAATGAACCAGAACTCATAAAAGTGAGAGACCTTGTGACTGGTCATCTATTTTGTGACCATTTTAAGTTCATCTTTGGTGTAGCCCTGGCTGCACTCTTGTACTGCCCAAGGTGTATCCATTGAGGCTTTTTAATAAATACCTGCTTTATTCTTTAACTCTGTCTAGTCCCTGTTCTAGGTCAGCCTTCACAAGACATCAGTAGGGGTATTTTTTCTGGGGAATCAATCTGACAGGGCATGGAATGTTTGTGGAGATCAGGATAACGTGCAGTTTATAACCATTGTTTATGGCTGTTCTGGAGCAACAAATTTAGAGTGGTTGGTTGGGTTTTTTTTTTGCAAAGCTAAGTTTACTGTCCCTGTGGTAAATGTTCATTGCTAATATTGGTATATTCTGATTTTTAGCTCAACATAAGTCAGTTGTTTTTTTTTATAGCAGTCAACACCCACAGTCCAGAGATTTTTGAGAGTGGACCTACAGATGCAGATTTGTGCCTTCATGCTGGAATGATGGTACCCTTCTGTATATGTGCCTAATGTCATAAATGCATGGGCTTGTGTGCCGTGTCTCTTGTGAAGAGACAAATGTTGTGTATCCCATCAAGCAATGATGCTTGCCTTAGTTCTTGGAATAATATTGCTGTTTGAAGGTAATAAATATTAACAGGCTTTTAAAATATTTCAGGACTTGTTGAAGGTATGTTTTCTTGTTTTGTTATTTTTTGTTTTAGGTGGCCTGGCTTTAGCTCAAGTACTTTTTTTTTATGTGAAATACCTGGTTCTGTATGGTGTTCCTGGCCTCCTCCTTCAAATGGATGGAATCAAACCTCCAGCTCTGCCTTGCTGTGTGAGCCTGATGCACAGTTTCACTAAAATGTGGAGGTTAGTCATTGTTACTTTTCAGGCAGTTTATTACTGATACATGGCAGTCAGAGCATGCATGTGTGTTCATTCTTACATACCTGTTTGCTTTCCTGTCCTTGTGCTTTTTCTCTCACCCCCCTTATTTATCTGTAGTGCTTTTTAAATGGACTTCAACTTGATGGTTACTTTTTTCACACTGTGGAGGGATAAGGGCAAGTAGCCATTTCAGCATTTTCATCCTTTTAATTACTAGAATTAGACTCAGCCTACCTAGTTAATATAGCAATTATTTTTTCCAGTTACCTATTAAATGATTTTTTTTCAGTCTGTGTCTAAACCCCACATTTCAGCTTGAAATTCTTCCAGAGACTGAAAATAAATGCTTGATTAATCACATGAGAAAAGCTGTAGTTAAAATATTTTAACATGTAGAGTCATATGGTAGAGGAAGTCTTGAACATGTTAAAAATACTATGAAAATGATAATTGTTTATATAGTAGGATGAATTTCTGGATCTGCTTTGCTTTTACAGGAGCTTCAGCACAATATTTCTTCAAAAACCTATGAATCTTGTGTCTTGTGTTTGCTTTAAATTAGCATTCACTGAAATATTTTCGCTGAAAACTGTCTCCCAGGTGGATTCTGCTTAATGTTTACCTTCTGTGTAAGAGTGGATTCACTTGACTTCTCTCCTCCCTTATTTTCCTCTGCACTAGCCAATATTCCTTCAGGCTGTGGGGTTCTGTGCCCCACACTTGTAAAAACATTCCCCTAATGATTTAGACTTGTCAGTCTTTTAGTGCAAAGGCTTCTCTCCTGTTGTATTGGTGCAGAGCCTGTCAGAACGGTGCTTACTCCATCTTGTGTCTGACTGCTTTGCAATATGAATAAAGCTTTTAATTTTAGCCATAAAAACAGTGGGCCTGCTGTTATCCGAGTTTTATTGGATGAGATTTTAATTTTGTTTTCAGCTAGTTGTAACAAGAAGGCTTTATAGTTTATAATAGTTGGCAAGTGTAGATCTGAAGTATTCAAAGAAATGCAGCAGGAAGAGTGCAGAAAACAGATGAATTATTAAAAATTATTTGAGCTACTAACAACTGCTTTGGTTTAAATGCTCTTTCGTAGTTTGCACTGAACTTACGACCTACAGAGTTAATATAGAAATCTGTCATTTTTACCAGGCACTTTCATGAGAACAGCATCTCTTGGCCTGCTAGCCCTTGTAGGCAGAGTTGCAAACAGCAGCAGTTTTTCCCCTTTGTCAGTTCTTATTACAGGGAATCTGTGTATTGCACTGGAGGTGCCAAGTGAAAGTGAATTTCAGCACAAACCCTGATGACACTGCTGTGCCAGGTAGCTGTAACATGCCATGAAAAGGTGCTGTGCACATGCAAAATGTATGTGTGTATCACAGTAAAAAAAAAAAATTGCATTCCTAAAATATTCATAACTCTTGTACAAAGATTGAAACTGGTATCTAAGTAGAAAACTTTTCTTTATAGAAGGAAAAAGTGTCAGGTGCTGATATTTATCTTTTTCCTGATTATTTAATTTCTATCAATTATTCATTGCCAGAAGTAATAAAATTTTTTCACAGATTGAATTTGTTTGCTTTGCATGTTGAAAAAAGTCAGTTAACGTATACCTGACTTGATTTCTTACTCTCAAAGTTCTTTAGTAGTAGATTTTTCTGTAGCTGCTGTGTTATAGGACATTCTCACTTATCTAAGGAGCTTTGTGAATGCCTTGAATTATGATGTCCTTATGTCTTTACAGTTAAACTCTTCTACCCAGGGGCTTTGCAGTGGTGCCTGGGTATCTTGTATAGAAATGTTGTGTTAGAAGTAGGAATAGCCTTTGTTTCTGAACTGTATGAGTGAACAGGACAGAAAGTGTGCAAATTATGGGCTTAGCAAAAAACAGTGAAAAAAGGGGAAAGTAAATGGCTCGTGTTGTGAAACCTTATTAACCATGACACTATTTCCCCCAAGTTCTAAATGCATTTTGATAGTTTGTGAATACAAGACTTTTAACAGGAAAGATCCTGATGACTTTATCAGAGTGTGTCAAATTTAAGTATTAAGAATACCATGTCTAGTTTTAAGGTGGTAGAGTGAGATTTGTACCAGACTGTTTTCATGAAATAGTAGTCTACTAAAGCTTATTAAAGACTTTGTAGGGCCAGGTTGGGAAATGGGGTGGATTGGAATAATCCAGATGACTTGCAGTTACAACACTCTTCTGTCTGGCATCAGGGACACTGCTCAGAAAAAAGTGCTTGTGTATGCTTGGCTTACTCTTCCCCTTCTTGCTGGTGTCCACTTGAGAATGCTGTCAGAAACATGTTGGCTGGACTTCCCAAGGCCCAGTATTACAATTTTTATCTCAAAACTTTTAGCAGTGCTTTTTGAATGAGAGAAGGTAGCCTGGAGAGAGAGACGACATGAATGTCACAATGTAAGGAATGCAAATATGCTACTAAGGAGCCTTGCACCACCACCTGGTGTCCTCTGAGCATAACAACAAAGCTTTTGATTCCATCTATCCAGACCTGTGTCACTTCTAGTCAGTACATGCTGACATAATTCACTCTGATACAGCATGTGGAAGAGCTTTCAGTCAGGAAGGTAAGAAAGATCTACAGTGTGTCTAAAGCTGCTTAAAGTTTCTCTAGAGCTGAAAAGCAAAGCAGGTGTTGAAAAACCAAATCAAATAGTCTGCCTCTCTATGGTACTAAACAATAAACCAAATCGTGTCCATTCAAACCTAAAAATAAAAGACTTTAATTAAAATAGTTATCAAGCCTATGATAGATTCTCCCTAATTCACATTTAATCAGGACAATCTCTGGAGTCAAATATTATCAATCTTGTTTGCCATCTCAAGACAAATACAGGTGTTGAATGTGTTACTTGGGTTTCATTTCACCAGGATATCATTGGCTTACTAAATATGCAGCTGCATAGCTAACAAATGCATGGTAAATACACTGCTATTCAAAAGCTTTATTATTGCTGTGAAAATGAGTCTCTGAGCTGATTTCCAGAGAGGATAGCAGTTCAGTGGCATGCAATCTTAGTTTTTAATGTCTGCTTTACCTTAAGCCATAATGAATTAAAACTTAGCTTTTGTTACCAAGGTTAAAAGCAAGGTAATGAATTGCGGGAGAGAACCAATGTTCTTGGTGTTCTTGGTCTTCTTGTGCTTTTAAAGAATAAGTCAAGGCTGATGCTTGCCATACAACTTCTCAGGTGGAGAGGATGAATTGTGTAGTGCAACTAGAAGTAGTTGTGTTACTGCTGAAACTTGCAAATTGAAACTTCAATATGGAAAAATATCCTAGTGAAGGAGTAATGGTTTGGAAACTGCAGAAACAAAAGATAGTACATAATTAAAACCTATGTAAATTTTGACATATTGATAAATTATCTTGGTAATTTATTCCATAGAGGAACTTGTCAGTTTGTAAATTAGGGCAACAGCTGCTGTTCATGGAAAAATAATCATGCTTCCATTTTTGCTTTTAGACTGTTGTGGGGTATGACTCTGCAACAAAAATGTGGGACACATTAGTTAGATATGTTTTGCCATGCTATGGGAACAGCCTGACATAAACCTCACATTTATTTCTGCTCCTAGACTGATTTGAAATGTGCAGAAACACAGCACCTTGATGATGTTCAGAGGGCTGGAGCACTTTGTCTATGCAGATAATTTGAGAGAGTTAGGTTCAGCCTGGAGAAGCAAAGGCTCCAGGGAAACCTCATATCAGCCTTCCAGTAGTTAAATGAGGCTTATAAAAAAGAGGGAGAGAGACCTTTTTATGCAGGCAGATGTTGATAGGCATGGGGAAATGATTTTGAAATGAAAGAGGAGAGGTTTAGATTAGAGTCTAAGAAGCAATTCTTTAGTCAGATGGTGGTGAGGCATTGGAATATGTTGCCCAGAGAAGTTGTGGATGCCCTGTTTCTAGAAGTGTTCAAGGCCAGGTTGGATGGAGTCGTGATCAGCCTGGTCTAGTGAGAGTTGTCCCTGCATGTGTTGGGGCATTGAAACTAGATTATCTTTAAAAGTCCCTTACAACCCAAACAATTCTGTGATTCCATGACTACTTCTGTGTCTTTCCACTGTGAAATCTTGTCATTCCCAAATATCCCAAAATAGTTTGGAGACAAGTGTGTTGGGGATAAACTGTTAAAACTTGATGCATGTTTAATGTAGATTAGTCTCAGCAAGAGTAGAGGTTTTTCAAGAAGGCAAGCAGAAGTAGCCTATGAAACGTAGATTTCACTGTAAACAGTATTTCATCTAGAATACAGAAAATGAAGTCAAAGAATGCTGCCGAAGGAAAATAAAAAAAATGCAGTGATAAAGATCAGATAGTTTTCAACTACCATGACTTAGGTTCTAGATTCTACTCTGTATTTATCACCCTGATTCTTGACAGACAGGAGTCTGATATTAGGCAACCCCTGATTTTCTTGCATGCTTAAGGACTAGGAGGGCTGTATTTGGCATATACAGACACACACACACATATATGAACAAGTTAAATTTCTGCTGGTGATGTTTTAGTGACATCCAAAAATGGCATCTGGGTTGTGATTTACAAGAAATTGTCTGCCATTTAGTTTAATGGCCTTGTTACTGCTTAAGATTATTTGCCTGACTTGAAAAAATGGTCTTTGTGCAAGGTCTCAGTGAATTGCTTCAAATTATGGATTACAGTCTGCTGTGGTCTTACCATATTCTTGGCTATAATGATGCCATAGAAAATAGAGCTACAGATAAAAATGTAAATTTATTTGCATTTGTTTCTTCCTTATCCTGGTACTTTTTGCCTACTTCTACCGTTGATCCTGAAATTTTCCTCCTTCTGGAAACAATTCCTTGTATGTCTGTCAAAAAGGACATTGCCAAAGTTTTTTTCCCCTTTGTTTTGGACTTTTCTGGGAAAAGACAAGTCTGACATTCATGTGTGAGTGCGAGAGATCACTGTGACCACATGCAGTAA